GCCTGTAAGATTTTTGGGAGAACTGATGTCATCTTCAGGCAGACCACCAAAAGCTTAACGTACTCTTTGAGGAGGGGTGGTCGATCTCCTTGGGTGCCTAACCTTGGCACTCTTAGACCTTCATCCCTTTGCGGGGCGGCCCTGGTTAACGGCTAGCATGGCTACCAGGGTTCCTCATGGGCGCACACTTGCTCATGGGGACAGTGTTGGGCCGGCACTGCGCTATCGATACTCAAGGGAGGCTTGGCATGTGGGCCTGGCTCAAGCATGTCCCTTCACCTCGCCAGCCCCTTGCCGAAGCTGATTGTGCTATCTCGTTGCCCCTAGCACACGGGTGTGTTTCGGCCCGAGCAGTTGCCTATCTTCATGGCACACATGTGCCTGTCATCATTGGCATACAGAAGACCCTTCACATTGGTGCCAAGTCACCTCATCGGTGCATGGTCGCCTTCCATTATGGTTGTCCCCCTTTAGAATGTAAGCGGCGCCTCCCATGGACCGGTCTGAGTCAGGAGAGTGTCCCGATCATTGGATTTGAGGTCATGATCCAGTGCTACTGACTTTAGTGGAGTCATCCCATCGGGCAACTCCTAGCCTCTAAGCGCATAAAGGCTTGTCCTGGCCTGCCTTGGCCAAGACGCCGCACGGGTTTCTTCCGCTGTAGAACTACCCCCGTGACAAATTGCTGGTGACAAAATTATTCAGCAAGATGTATATGTTTTTGTCTCCGGTTAATCCGCCCCGGGCAGTAGCTAACTTTTTTGATAAACACGAAACTAATTAATATGATAGATAACCGATAACCCCATAAGAGTCAACTCAATTACAAATAGCTAAGCTCTACGACTCCATCGACAACCATCATAACATTCCTTAATTACCAGCAAATTGATTCATGACACGGTGGATATTAAAAATTTAAGTTGCAAAGTAGCTCGCGAATGAGCCGCACGAGCATTCTCCAGGAAGCTTCTATTTAATAAGCCGTACCAGTCAGACTAGGCCACGTCCATAACTGACGGCGCGGTCCCTGTCCTTTCGACAGTCTGCGCCCACGTCTCTCAGTAGGCAGAGGCGTGCCTGTCACTTTGGGGATGTGTCACTCGCCCGAGTAAGGAATACGTCCCAACAGCCACCTGCTCAGCCCTGGCAGGTAACGGCAGTGGCAGGGACCCAGTGGCAGTTATGCCTGATCTCGCAAGAGCGTTCCTATAAAAGCCCTCAGGGCAGAGGAGAAACTTCTTCTTGAGACCTCTAACCTCTCGAATATAGTGATAAAGCGYGACCTCCACTCTTAGCTTTCATTTCTCTCTTTACTCCCCATACACAGCACTAACTTAAGCATCGGAGTATTCCCACCGGGCAAGTCCCCGAGAATCCTTCCTTTCGTCTTCTCAGGTGTCGCGTGTTGCTGACAAGGAGCCAGCCAGTCGCCAGCTAGGAGTGCCCAGATCGCGCCGTATCATTTGGCGCCGTCTGTGGGAACGCTTCAAAAGGCCTTTCCCTTTAAATTCTTTCAATTACTTCTTCTTCCTTGAAACAACCCAGCGCTCATGGCTTCCTCTAGCAACGTCAGATGAAGCACGGAAATGGGTAACTCCAGGGAGCAACCCCAGTCTCCTACTGTGTGTATCGGACAGTTCACCATCCCCCTCTCAGCGGACGGAATCCCCAACTCGAACGTGCCTCTCACAATGGCACCTGTCATCGCCCCACTCCCCACTAACGTTACCCTCGGTCGTGCCCCCAGCGGCCAGTCCGAACCAGCTGGAGGACCTGATGCAGTGCATGAAGGCCATGCAAGCCCAAATGCAACAGTTTCAACAACTTCAGCTCTATCAACAGCACGTGCTGCACCAGGTCTCCCAGTACCAGTATCAACAGCAGTTCCCCCAGTTGCCCCAACCCCAGCTTCAACAGCCTTAGCTCTAGCCTCAGCACCCGGCCTTGCAGCAAGCAAAATCTCACCGCCAGAGTGAACACTCCGACCGAGGAGAGGTCCCCCAAAATCTCCCAAAAAACCAAGCCTCCCCCCACGACAAATGGGAGAGATGGACTACCCCGATCTCGCCACGGGTGGACAGGTCGGGAGGACCCCGGCTCAGCTGGTCAACATCGCCTCGACAGTCAAAGTTCGGAACCCCGATCCTTGAAAACCGGTTCGAGATCCTGGCAATAGACTCTAAGCAGGCCCCTTCTGTCCGCAGCCATCACCAGCAGACCGGGCTACTCCCGGCGCAAACCATTCTAAACAACGCGGAGGTGAGCAGCACGAACGCCGAGCCCATCAAGAAGCAGAGACGTCGCCGCCGAGCTCGTCGATCTGTCACCCGCGATTAGTCACAGATGCACCTGGCGCGAGCCAGTGAATCATGCATGTGTGTTGCCTTCTCCATTACTTTCAGGGGAGCAGCACGCACGTGGTACTGGAACTTGGCACCCGGGTCGATAAGAAGTTGGGCGCAGTTCGCACAAGCCTTCACGTCCCA